GGCTCGGGTGAATTTCGAACAGTCTACAGATGGTTTTAGACTTAGAAAATCTAGTTTTTTCCTCAATTTCAGCTATCATCTGGTTTCCTTCTTTGCGATCGCGAAGGTACTCTCGCGATCGTGAATAATGATATGGGCTGGGTGGGATTTTCTTCATCGCGAATGCAATAGCTATGTCGCGAACAGGAGTGTTGGGGTTTTACCCTATGCGAACGCGACCAGCTTCACGCGAACGAGTAGCTTTAGGGACCTCGGGGAGGGGTCAGTCATTTCTTCTATGCGAATGCGAGCACTGGCTCGCGAACGCGAAGGCCACTTTGGCTGCTGCACATCGCGAACGTGGCAGGCCTTTAGCGAACGCGAAGAAGGCATGACGCCAGTAATTAAAACAGACCAAAAATGGGATTCTTCCATTTTTTTCATAAACTCTCCATTAGAGCTCGGCCTAGAGGCGATTTTTAAGGGAAAACTCAATATCAATTCATAGGTTTCTACATGTTAACTCATTTTCTTTCATGTCTAACATCACCCATTAATTTCTAGCCCTAATCTTTATTCTTCCATGGTAGAAAACTAGGGATTTAGGAAGAATTGAGGGTTTTTGTAAATTAGGGATTTAGACCTCAAATTGAGGTCGGATTCCGAAACAAATTGCATAATCGGGCTCGGGGGTGAATGAGTAAATAGATTTTGGTTTGAACCTCGGGTTTTGACCAAGCGGGCACGGGGTCAATTTTTGACTTTTGGGGGGGAAGTTTGGAAATTCTAAATTTATGCATTGTAATTGATTCCTTTAGGAATATTTGATATTATTGAGTCAATTGTGGTTAGATACGAGCAGTTTGGAGGCTGATTCTAGGGGAAAGGCCCCGATAGACCTTTGAATTGGTCTTTGGAGCGAAGTAAGTATCGTGGTTAACCTTGACTTGAGGGATTAGGACTTGTTTGCCTATTTGCTACATGTTTAGATGTTTGGTACAACGTATATGTGAGGTAATGAGTACTTATGCGTTGTTGTTGGGTCAAAGCATGCGGTGGAACTTGTTTTCTTGCAATTTGTTTCTTTCTTTGATCATGATCACCATGCTTAGACTAGTTAATTACTAAATTGATCGTTCTTTTTGCATTTATGAGCTATTTGAGATAATTGAGTATTGTTTTCCGAAGTTGAGATTGGTATTGTGGAAACATTGTTGATGTGAGGCACGTTCTTGCTTATTCTGTCTCTCTTTTGTTTATGCTCACTGTTATATGGTAAGGGAGAGTGTTAATGCACGAAGGGTGATGTCGTGCCATATGAGAGTAAAAGCACGAAGGGTGATGTTGTGCAGTTATTATTATTTCACAGTGAGATTGAGAGTAAAAGAACGAAAGGTGATGTCGTGCAGTTATTATTGTTTCACAGTGAGGATGAGAGTAAAAGCACGAAGGGTGATGTCATGCCGATGTTATTGTTTCAAAGCTAGGTTGAGAGTAAAAGCACGAAGGGTGATGCCGTGCAATTTTGTTCATTATGTTTATTCGTTTTGCTGGTTAAAGACTTATTGACTGTTTCTGACATCATTCCCTGTAGTATTTATCGTATCTTGTACCCATTTCGCATGTCCCCTCCCATAATCACATATTTATCTTTTATTTGTTATTGTGTTGTACGTATATTGTTATCTGCACAGGTTTATTTTACGTGGGTGTCCTGTTATAGCCTCGTCACTATCTCGTCGAAATTAGGCTCGACATTTACGGAGTGCATTGGGTCGGTTGTACTCATATTACATACTGCACTTCTTGTGTAGATTTTGGTACTGGTTCCGGCTGTCCGTGAGGCATTTTGCTCGGATTTGCATTTGGAGACCCGAGGTAGTTCTGCTAGCGTCCTCATACCTTGAAGTCCCCTTCCATTACCCCTATTTTACTGTTCTTTTCATTCAAGACAGTTGTATTTATTTCAAACCCTGTTTGTAGAGACTCTAGAAGCACATGAATTGTGACTCCAGATCCGGGTTGTACTTAGATATTAATGATGTTTATGTTATTTCGCACTAAGTATTAATTTCAGTTTGTCTTAATTGTTTTTACTTATCTTAATTGATTAAAATTGGCTTAAAGATCCTCTAATGTTGGCTTGCTGAGCAAGTGAAAAGTTAGGCGCCATCACGGTCCCGAAGGTGGGAATTCCAGGTCGTGACAGTTCTTGACCGGCCAACACTCTTCTCCATACAACATAGTAGGTCTAACTACAACCTTGTAGAACTAACCTTTAAGTCTCAGCGGCACATTCTTATCACACAAGACACCAAAAGCGAGCCTCCACTCCATCCATCCTACTCTGATACGATGCATGACATCTTCATCAATCTTCCCGTTACCTTGTATTATAGATCCAAGATACTTGAAACTACCTCTCTTGGGGATGACTTGCGTATCAAGCCTCACCTCCATATCCCTTTCGTGGTTATCGTTGTTGAACTTGCACTCCATGTATTCCGTCTTGATCCTGCTCATATTAAAACTTTAAAAATAAAACAGGGGCTAAGTCTGTTAGCAAGATAGTGGACATACTATAAGATTCCTTAAAAATAGGATCCTTTGGAATATACGATAAGATTAACGCTATTAATCAGATGCGGCGAAATGGATTCCTTAATCAAATTGAGACAATTCGGAATCTCCATTAGGTTACTTAGCCTTGTATTTTGTCAACTACTTTATACCTATATAAACACACCTAAAATTATCAAAAACATACACTTCAAAATCAAACTTGATGTTTTTAACTTCAATACCATACAAGAGGGGGGTGATTTATGTGGTACCCAATGTTTTGCCTAAACTGATTATAGAAGGACCGGGTTCTTCTATGTGTTCCTTAACCTACTATTGCTGAAACAGTAAATGCGAAAAGTAAAGAACACAAATATTTTACGTGGAAAACACCTGGCTCAAAAGGTGAAAAAACCACGACCTACTTCCCAGTAGGATTTTCCCAAACTCTTCCACTAAATCACTGAGTCAAAAACTGCATTTACAAAACACTTTTGTAAACCTAGGATTAACTCTAATCCTGTTGTGGCAAATAACCTCTAACTGTTGCGACAACTTCAAGTTAACTCTAACTTTAATACTCTGAGTACCTATTACAATTGCCTCTAGATAAAGCTAAAAGGTACAATATGAAAACACCTACTACAATTGAACTAGAATAAAAGACAGACACTTGGAGCTGGTTCTTCTATCTAGTTCATGTAGCTTCAGGTTTGCACACTTGAATCACACACGAATTGCTTTTAAAATGCCTTGCTATTTTGCTCTCAATTCACGTTTCACTTCTGCTTTTGTGCATCATTGTAGAATGAGAACATCCTGCGATTTATAGAGTTAGCAGAGTAGAAAATAACTAGAGTTCTAATGCTACTCTTCCTTGGTGGAAGAGTTCTAGTTGATCTCAACTTCTAACTCCTCCCTTATCTTGGATAGTGTTCTCTTTGATTAAGGAGTCTGTCTCCTTATCAATTATGTAATCTTTTCGATCAGGAGATATCAATTATACCAAGTTAAGCTTATCTCCTTTACGTGCATCCCACATGCTCGAGTCTGCCCCTGTCTATGCATACAAGGGATGGACCCGGTTCATGCCCGAGCTTCCTTTGTCAATCTTCAAAACTAACATTCACTTGGGCCAACAAATTCCCCCTTTTTGATGATGACAAACCCTATGCTTTTCAAAAGCTTAGGCCATGTTTCAACTTAGCTCAACATCAACACAATGTTAGAAATATTTTTCCTTTTAATCACTTACCATCAAGGACCAGGTACATTAGGTTATAAACAAAGTGTAAAGCACAACCTTTTCCCCCCTTTTGGCATCATCGAAAAGTTGCATAAATATGTAAGATAATCAAATTTTAAAACTTACCCATGGCCACTGGGCTACTTCAAATGCAATTATGGGTTAATCATCATAGATCAAGCTAAGAATTTTAACCACCAAAGAAATATAAACAAACAGTTAGAGCAAAAGACAGTGAATTTCATTGATGATTGATAAGATTCTACCACAAAGCATAAGAAGAAATAAAAATACTGAAAATGTGAGCAAAAGAAACAAATGAAATCCCGAACTGGGTCACTGGTTGATCTACACTAGGCTAGGAGGCTTAAGGCTGGGAAGAACTAGGTGCTTGGTTTTTGGCTTGGAGGAGTTTCAGCATATTCTGAAGAATGCCATCATTCTTCTCGTTTTCTCTTGCCAGCTCAGTTCTGAGAGCATATCTCTTAGTCTCCACCTCTGCCAACCTCTTCTTCAGCCTCTCAATCTCAGCATCCTTAGTCCCACTTTCTTGCACCAAGGCTCTCACATTGTTATTCACTGGTACCTTCTTGGATGAACCAGGTTCTTTAGGAGTGGCATGGACTTTATAGTCACAATCAATCAGAGTATTTGCACCAAAATGATCCTTACTTGTACCAACCTCCCACTTCTCCATAGGTACCTTGAAATGTGCAAGCACAGCTATGAGAATGAAGCCATAGGGAATGGCATGAGTCTTGGTGCCATTTAGAACCCTATCAAGAAGTTGGATTATAAATCCGGGCCAATTAATCTGCCTTTCGCTGTCTAAACACTCTATAAGGACCAAGTCCATGAAGTTTTCAATGTTCCTCCTTTCCTGCCTTAGCAGAACATATTTATTGACAAATTCGAACAGCACGTTATAGGGTGGCTTCATCTCACTTTTGTACACAGCCTTGGGCTTAACTTCCTCCTCATTGTCACTGAATTTTCTGGTAATGGTAAGGGCAGTAGGAAGATTTTCTATGCTTGGCCACTTAAGCTTTGTATATTCATTGTACCCCTCAGTAGGTACACCCATAATTTCTCCCAACTCCTTCACATCGAAGGAGACTTGCACTCCTTTCACTATACTGGTAACCCTTCCATCTTTCACCTCACTATTTGCCATAAACTCAATAATTTCATTCATGGCCAACTTGCCATCCATCTAAAGAACCATGTCCTTCCAGCCTTGTAACTCCAACTTCTCCAAAAGCAACACCATTCCTTTCTCCTTCAAGTCCCTGAGTAGTCTACCCTTCAAAATTGTCCTCTTGCCAAACTTGGCCACCTTGTCTTTCTCAGTGTCAGAATCATCTTCTTTCTCTCCACTCCATTCCTTTTATTCAACATTTTTCACTTGTTTTGACTTCACAATAGACCTTGTTCTTTTTGCCAAGGTGGATGGTTCAGCAGACTTTGACTCTCAAACAGACTTCTTAGTGGAAGTCTTGGCTTTGGGAGTCAGAACCTCCACTTCTTCGATGTCTTCTTCATCTCGAAGGACCAAGTCCATCTCATCAATATCAATAGCCTCAACAGGCTCATCCATCTTCTTCTTTCCCTTAGCAACTATTTTTCTTCTACTTTCTTCTAAGGCTTTCTGCAGTTTTGCCTCATTCTGCTTTAGCTGACTTCTTGTGGCTCTTCCTTGTGTGGGAGGAATTTCAACAGTAACAGAAGGAGGAGCCTTCCTTTTCTTATTTTCCCTACCATTGCCAGAGGTTTTAGCCTTTGAAATTCCTTTATTCTTTGGATTATAGCTCTCAGTCACTTTCTTCAATAGGTCTGCAAGGGTTTCCTCTACAGATGAACCAGGTTCATCTCTATTTTTCCCAAGTTGAACAAGCCCTTCAGCTGTTTTGCCAGACCTACTTCTCCCTATTTTCTGTACACTCTCGTTTACTCCAACAGATTTCTCTTCCCAAACAACCATTGCACTTGTGTCTTTGGTTAAACTTACAGGAGTGGGTGAAGAATCAACCACTCTTTTACCCTTTCCCCTCACACCACTCCTAACTCCCTTGCTCTCTTTTGATTTTTCCTTTTTATTTTTACCACCAACTTCTCCAGACTCTGTAGTTTCAATAACTGCTATAGACCCTACCAGCACAAACCTATTTTCCAAATTTGTATCAACTTCAGCAATTGTCTCAGGAGTAGCTTTAGGGATAAAAGATACATGTTCAGTTTCAGAATAAACCGTTTCTTCCCCCTCAGTAGCAGATTTAAATAAGTCTTTAGATTTCTGAGGTTCTTAGACCTGGCTATCCTTCAATTATTTATCTAATTTCTTAGATAATGTTCTCCCTGCTACAGTCTTGCGAGCAAGCATCTTAGTTCTTCCTTTCTTAGACAGAGGTGTGTTTGAAGGTGTGATAGATGGTGTGGGTGTGATTTCCTTGGGTGGGGATGAAGGATTTTCAGGAGTGTTAGCCATTTCTGTGGTTGGGTATGGGAGAGAAGAGAATTGGATTGTGATTGGAAGATGAGAGAAGATGAAGAGTATTTGACGGCTTGAAAATATGGAGTGAAGAAAACAATAATGCTGATCAATTTAAAGAGGAATAATTAATGGGGCAACGGCAGCTTTTCAAACTTTTAGAAGTCTAATCAAACTGAATTTCAGTTTTGAAAAGACTTTGGAGTGTATCCCTAGAATCTAGGTACTTTAATTCGGTTAGGAGTCTTTTGTAACTGAACTAATTCACTTGTAACGGATAAGTCCAAAAGAGTTTGGAATTAAATAGGACTCTGTTCATGATCCAAATATTATTATTTCAAATTATGCAGAGTGTAGAAAATATACCGAGTAATCTTGATGAACCAAGTTCTTCACTGAGAATTGTCTTGTGAAAGTCTAAATTTTCCAAAATAGAAAAAATATCATTAGAGATTAATGAATCATTTTAGCACATGACACAAAAGTATACTATTGAAAGTATGAGACTGAGCAAAATCTAATCTAATTATATACAAAATTTATAGATTTTCTAACCAAAAAATTTTATTTTTTCATTGTGAATTTTTGAATTGGTCCTTTTAGGTGATCTTAATCATCCCTAATTCTAACATGTTCCTTTCAAAGTGATCTCTACTTAGAGCTTTTATAAAGATGTCAGCTATTTGCTTGTCAGTAATACAAAATTTCATAGTTATCAAACCCTTTTCATAGTTATCCCTCAAAAGGTGATGCCTAACATCTATGTGTTTAGTTCTCTTGTGATGAACCGGGTTCTTGGTCATAATAATAGCACTAGTGTTATCACAAAAAATGGGGATACAACCAACATCAATTCCAAAGTCCATTAATTATTATTTGATCCACAACAATTGAGCACACCATGAAGCATCAGCAACATACTCAGCTTCAACAGTTGATAAGGCCACTGAATTTTGCTTTTTGGTAGCCCAAGACACAAGACATGAGCCAAGAAAGTGTGCCATACCTAAGGTGCTCTTTCTATCAACAAGAAAACCTGCATAATCAGCATCAGCATATCCCACTAGATTGAAATTATTACCTTTTGGATACCATAGACAAAGATCAGTGGTACCTTTTAGATATCTCAAAATTCTCTTGACAGCAGTCAAGTGAGACTCCTTTGGATTTGCTTGAAATCTTGCACAAAGGCCTATACTGAAAACTATGTCAGGTATACCAGCATTGAGATACAACAATGAGCCAATCATTCCCCTATACAACTCTGATCAACAGATGAACCAGGTTCATCTATATCCAACTTTGTAGTTGTTGCAATAGGAGTGTCAATTTCTTTAGAATCTTCCATTTTAAACCTTTTAAGAAACTCTTTTATATACTTTTGCTGATGGATCATAGTTCCATTTAAATTTTGTTTAATTTGTAAGCCTAAAAAGAAATTAAGCTCACCCATCATGCTCATTTCAAATTCACTCCCCATTAGTTTAGCAAATTCTTTACTTAACTTATCAGTAGTTGCTCCAATTATTATATCATTAACATATATTTGAACTACCAAGAGATCTTTACCTTTTTCTTTCAAGAACAAAGTATTGTCATTTTTACCTCTCTTGTAGTCATGCTCAAGCAAAAACTTTGATAATATTTTATACCATGCTCTTGGAGCCTGCTTGAGCCTATAAAGTGCTTTGTCAAGTTTGTACACATGATCAGGACTCTCCTTGCTTTCAAACCACGGAGGTTGCTTGACAAACACTTCTTCCTTTAGATAGCCATTAAGGAAGGCACTCTTGACATCCATCTGGTGAAGTGTGAATTCCATGTAAGCAGCAAAGGCTGTGAGGAGTATTATTGCTTCCAACCTTGCAACTGGAGAAAAGGTTTCATCATAGTCTATGCCCTCCTCTTGGCTATATCCTTGAACCACCAATCTTGCCTTGTTCCTTGTAACTGTTCCATCTTCATCATGTTTGTTTCTAAAGACCCATTTTGTGCCAATTACTAATTTGTCCTTGCGTCGTGGTACCAGATGCCAAACTTGACTCCTTTCAAATTGATTAAGTTCATCTTGCATTGCATTTACCCAGTATGTATCCTGTAAAGCCTCAGCAACATTTTTAGGTTCAATAAGAAATAAGGCATCAAAAACATAAAGATTTTTTAATGAAGATCTGGTTTTGATTCCAGAGGTTGGATCAGTGATTATGTTCTCAATAGGATGAGAACTTTGATACTTGTAAGATTTTACAACCAACTTATTTCCCCTTGATGTTCCTTCAATGCTTTGTTGCTGTGGAACAGGTTCATGGACAGGCTCCCTTGAGGTTTGAGAATCATTTTCTCTTTTTTCTATTCCCCCTGTCATGTTGCCCTGGGTGTAAGAACCTATTCCATCACCTGTTCCTTCCTCTAGTGCAGCTTCAGTATGGGCTGTGGTTTCATTTGAGTTTCTTACCAGCCCAATTGCTTTATCATCGTGTTCCTACCTCTCAGAAAGAATGTTAGTTTCATCAAAAAACCACGTGAACACTTTCTTCTACACACATAGTTCTTTTTTTATATACCTTATAGGCTTTGTTATGTGAAAAATATCCCAAGAATACTCCCTGATCACTTCTGGGATTAAACTTACCTAGGGAGTCTTTACCATGGTTGTGCACAAAGCACTTGCATCCAAATGCCCTAAGATGGGATATGTTTGGTTTTCTCCCTTTAGGTAACTCATAGGGAGTCTTCTCTACAAGAGTTCTAGTCATGCGCCTATTTATGATGTAGCATGCAGTATTTACAGCTTCTGCCCAGAAGCTATGGGGCAGTTTACTAGAAAGAAGCATAGTCCTAGACATACTTCAAGTGTCCTATTCTTTCTTTCAACTACTCCATTTTGTTGTGGAGTCCTAGGAGCAGAAAAATTATGATTTATGCCATGCTCATCACAAAATTCAGCAAATTTAGCATTTTCAAATTCAGTGCCATGATCAGACCTAATTGATGCAAGTTGATTACCTAGTTGTTTTTGAGTTTTTCTAACAAAAGAAGTGAACATATCAAATGCTTCATATTTATATGTTAAAAATAATGTCCAAGTAAACCTAGAGTAATCATCAACAAGCACCATCACATATCTTTTACCACATCTTCTTAATGTTCTCATTGGACCACAGAGATCCATATGGACTAGTTCCATCGTCTTGGTGGTTCTTACCACTTTCTTTCATTTAAAAGAGGATCTTACATGCTTCCCCCTAGCACAAGCCTCACAAACTTGGTCTTCCTTGAACTTGATGTTAGGCAACCCTATCACCAGGTCCTTGGAAACTAATTTGTTGAGTTGACTCAGACTTGCCTGACCAAATGTCTTGTGCCAAAGGAGGGGATCATTGTTCAACACACTTAAGCAAGTGAGTTCATTTTCTGAAAGTGTGGACAGATCTACAATATATATATTATTCACTCTTTTTCCCTGCAAAACAATCTTGTTAGTGGTAAGATTAATCACAAAATATTTGGTGGAGGTGAATGCTACCAAGTTACCTCTATCACACAGTTGTGATACACTGATTAGACTGTATTTTAATCCATCTATCAAGTAGACAATCTCAATAGAGTGAGAATCAGTCTTAACTACCTTTCCAACTCCAATGATCTCACCTTTCTTCCCATTTCCAAATGAGGTATTACCTCCTTTGAGGTACTCAAGTGAAAGGAACTGGTTCTTGCTTCCTGTCATGTGCTTTGAGCAGCCATTATCCATGTACCATATTTGGTTGCTCCCCTTCACTTGGACCTGCAAAAGAAAATCAGGGGTTAGTCTTAGGAACCCAAACTAGTTTGGGTCCCTTTCTATAGGCAAAAGGATGAATCAGATTCTTTTTAGCCTAACTTGGCAGCCTATTCTTCCCTTGAACAAATTCTTTGTTCTTTTGGCTTGCCTTTTCTTTTATATTGCATTCACTTTTATAGTGACCTGTTTTACCACAGTGAGTACAAATCTTGTTCTCAGAAAGTGTAAGGTACTTGCTTTTGGGATCCCATTTAAGTGGCATATTCCCAAAGCCAAGTCCTCTTCTATTGCTACTATGATGTTCCTGTAGCCATGAAAGTGCATCGGAGGACCTGTTCCATTTACAAGTTCTGTCTAATTCATGCTTGACTTTGCCTAGATCCTCTCTTAAAATTCTAACCTGCTCATCCTTCTTATACAACTCATCTTTTAGTTTACCTACATTTTCTTCTAGAGTGAGTTGTATGCAATCAGTTATCTTCTTACTTGTTCCTAATTTTAGTTTTAGGTTTTCAGATCTAAGTTCTAGGATATTTGATTCAAATGCATTAACCTGGTTCTTTAATGCAGTACTTTCACTTATAGTCTCACTAACCCTAAGTTCCAGGTTCTTACACTTTGCTTTCAAAATCACACATTCCTTAGACAACTGTTCGTTTTCATTGTTTACATCCTCAGATTCGTCAATGAAATCTAGAAGTAATTCATATAGCCTTTCTTTAGACAAAAATTTAATCTTGTCCTTAAGATGAATTACACTTACCTCTGATTCCTCATCAGATTCTCCAATGGCCATAAGTGCTGGTTCATCTCCATCTTCATCATCTGAGCTTTCATCTTAGCTTTCTCCCCAAGCAGCAACCATAGCCTTTGTTGATCCTTTGTTCTTCTTGGGCTGAACCTGTTCCTTCTTCCTGTTTCTTCGTTCAGCTCTTTCTTTCTTCCATTCAATTTCCTATTGAGGGAAGTTCTTGATGTGGTGATCAGTCTTACCACACTTGTAGCATCCCTCATTGGCTTGCCTTTCATGAGCTTTTGGTTTGCTGTAGCTTCCACTTCTTGAAGGACCCTTTCCTCTCTTTAGGTACTTCTTGAAGTCCTTTGTGATCATAGCCATTTCATCATCTTCTAGATCAGAACCTTCAGTGATTCTGAGTGTCGGGCTCCTTTCCTTCTTGGGTACATCCATCTTCATGGTTTGCCTTCTAAGTTCAGAAGCAGTGAGATTTCTAATTAGCTCATCCAACTTAAGAGTGGCAATGTTCTTTGATTCCTGAATGGCGGTGATTTTGCTCTCCCAAGTAACTGGCAGAACTCTGTCAAAATCTTCTCAACTCTGTCTTCTTCAGAAATAATCCTTCCAAGAGACTTAAGTTCATTTGTCAGTGTGGTGAACCTTGTATACATCTCTTAGATGGTTTCCCCTTCCTTCATGGTGAAATTCTCATATTGAGAATATAGTTCCTCTGGACCTCTTCACTTGAGGTGTTCCTTCATGGGCCACTTGCAAAGTCTCCCAGATTTCCTTAGAAGTGGTACAGCTTTGGATTCTACTGTACTCATCTGGACTGAGTCCACAAACAAGTCATTTCTTGGCTTTAGCATTCTTCTCTCATTTCCTCAAGTCGTTAGCAGTGCAGTCAACTCTTGTCTTTGCCACCTATTCTCCTTCGGCATTTATCTTCGTGGTAGCCAGTGAGCCATCTGTGACAATGTCCCATAGCTCATAGTCTTCTCATATGATGTGATCTCTCATCCTGTTTTTCCACCAAGAGTAATACTGGTCGTTGAAAAGTGGTGGCCTAGCAGTGAATTGCCCTTCCCAGTTTCCAGGTGGTGTACTCATCTTGATCTTCTCCTAAGGTGTTAGCCTCTTCAAGTATAACTAACTCTGATACCAATTGATGTTTTAAATTTCAATACCACACAAGAGGGAGGGTAATTTATATGGTACCCAATTTTTTGCCTTAACTGATTATAAAAGGACCGGGTTTTTCTATGTGTTCCTTAACCTACTATTGCAGAAACAGTAAATGCAGAAAGTAAAGAACACAAGTATTTTACGTGGAAAACACCTGGCTCAAAAGGTGACAAAACCACGACCTACTTCCCAGTAGGATTTTCCCAAACTCTTCCACTAAATCACTGAGCCAAAAACTGCATTTACAGAACTCTTTTGTAAACCTAGGATTAACTTTAATCCCGTTGTGGAAAACAGCCTCTAACTGTTGCGACAACTTTAAGTTAACTCTAACTTGAATACTCTGAGTACCTATTGCAATTGTCTCTAGATAAAGCTGAAAGGTACAATATGAAAACACCTACTACAATTGAACTAGAATAAAAGATATACACTTGAAGCTGGTTCTTCTATCTGGTTCATATAGCTTCAGGTTTGCACACTTGAATCACACACGAATTGCTTGCACAATACCTTGATATTTTGCTCTCAATTCACGTTTAACTTCTGCTTTTGTGCATCACTGTAGAATGAGAACATCCTGCGATTTATAGAGTTAGTAGAGTAGAAAATAACTAGAGTTCTAATGCTACTCTTCCTTGGCGAAAGAGTTCTAGTTGATCTAAACTTCTAACTCCTCCCTTATCTTGGATAGTGCTCTCTTTTATTAATGAGTCCTTCTCCTTATCAATTATACATCCTTTTTAATCAGGAGATATCAATTATACCAAGTTAAGCTTATCTCCTTAACGTGCATCCCGCATGCTCGAATCTGCCCGTATCTATGCACACAAGGGATAGCCCTGGTTCATGCATGAGCTTCCTTTGTCAATCTTCAAAACTAACCTTCACTTGGGCCAAAAAAACTAATCTTTCTTCTTTAGCATTTTAATCAATCTTTTTTTTTTCCTCAAAAAGAAATTAAAAATGGTCGATATTGAAGGATCACCAGGTAGTTCTATGCATGGAGTTACAGGTAGAGAACCAGTTCTTGCTTTCTCTGTTGCATCTCCAATGGTACAAACTGATACCACTGCACATTTTAAAGTTCCGGTCGATTCTGGACACAAGGCCAAGGTTTTCAAATTCTACTTATTTTCAAAACCTCACGGTCTAAGTTTTCAACTTTCTTGGATTTCTTTCTTTACTTGTTTTGTTTCTACTTTTGCTGCTGCCCCTTTAGTTCCTATAATTAGGGACAACCTTAACTTGACCAAAATGGACGTTGGTAATGCTGGGGTTGCCTCTGTTTCCGGAAGTATTCTATCTAGGCTTGCAATGGGTGCGATTTGTGACATATTGGGACCAAGATATGGATGCACATTTCTTATCATGTTATCAGCTCCGACTGTTTTTTGCATGTCTTTCGTGTCTTCGGCCGGTGGCTACGTTGTTGTGAGATTCATTATTGGATTCTCACTCACGACGTTTGTGTCATGTCAATATTGGATGAGTACGATGTTTAATAGTCAGATTATTGGACTTGTTAATGGAACAACAGCAGGATGGGGAAATATGAGGGGTCGACCTACTCAGCTTATTATGCCTATTCTCTATGATATTATTAGAAGAGTAGGAGCCACCCCTTTTACTACTTGGAGAATTGCACTCTTTATTCCTGGATGGCTTCATGTTATTATGGGATTGGGAGAGTTGATTTTGGGGATTTGAATGACCAATTGGTGTCGGATTTTGATGAATTTGGTATGACTAGACTCGTGAGTGAATGGGCTTTCGGATTTTGTGATTTTTGTCAGATTTCGAGACATGGGCCCGAGGGCCATTTTGGAGCAAATTTTGGATTTTGAGTTATAACTGAATTTCTTGTACAATTGATTCCTTTAGCCCGTATTGATTGTATTGTGCTGTTTGTGGCTAGATTCGGGTCATTTGGAGGCAAAGGCTTATTGTAGCAGGGATTTGCTCGGATTGAGGTAAGTAACACTTCTAAACTTGGTTCTAAGGGTTTGAAACCCTGAATTTATGTGTTATGTGATTGGCATTGAGGTGACGCACATGCCAAGTGACGGGTGTGCGGGCGTGCACCATAAGAATTGTGACCTGGTTGATTCCATGGCACTGTCTAGTGGTTCAATTTTGTTGATATTCGTATTTTCACCATGTGATAAAGTAATTGATCTGTCAGTCATGCTAGATATCATGTTTTTATGTAGGTACTGTTGGGACCCATACTGGTCCTTTCTTGCTGTTATATTACTGATTTCATTGATATTTTTTACTAAGTCATATTCATTCATTTCATATCATATCTCAGTCTCTGTTGTTATTTATTGATACATCATATCATTGTTTTCGGGCTAGTATCATGACATTGTGAGCCCGTGAGAGAGAAACTGGAGAGATTGATGACTGAGTGAGGTCGAGGGCCTGATTATGAGTGACATTTATGGGATCGGGCTGCACGTCACAGCGGTTATACTAATTTATGATAGAGTTTTGGCTGAAGGAGCCCCTCCGGAGTCTGCACACACCCCAGTGAGCGCGGTTGATTATATTGAAGGATGAATCTTCCCTGGACATAGATCTTGTCTGAAGCATTATATACCTAGAGATGGATCTTCCTCGCGGGATGGGTTGGCCCTGCTCAGTACTAGGTGACTGATGGTCAGTGATGTATATATTCTGAGATGGATCTTCCCTGGGCCGTATGGGCCATATACAGTACTGAATGATTGAGCATTTGAGAGTGTGAGCACATGAGGTTGTCGGCATGGTGTGTCATATACAGCATGTGCATTGGCATGTAGAAGTAGAGGAGTCATATTCTTCATATCATTCAGATTTGATCCATTTTACTGTTTTGAGATATCTATCGAACTTGAAAGCATGTCTACGTTTCTGCACTGTTATTTCTATATTGAACTGTGCCGGTTGAGTTCGTCACTACTTTTAGTCCAAAGTTTGGACTTGTTACTTATTGAGTTGGTTGTACTCACACTACACCCTGCACTTCGTGTGCAAATCTAGGTGCTTCCGGTTGCGGCGACTGCTGAGTGAGGAGTCGAGATCTCGGTGACTATCGAGGTAGCTGCATAGAGTTCATAGGCCTTGACTCTCCTTCATTATCTTTATTTGTATTTTAGTTCTGACTCCTCAGACATTGTACTAGGTTGTATACTGGTATAGATGCTCATGTACTCGGTGACACCCTGGTTTTGGGAGAGATTTGTATTGAATTGTGGTTTTATTTCGGTTTTAAAGGGTTTTTCTTAAATATTAATTGCTTCCGTTTAATTTTCAAAGCTTTTATTTGGTTGAACTGGTTGAGTAGTTGGCTTTCCTAGTCCCACGATAGGTGCCATCATGACGGTTGATTTTGGGTCGTGACAGTGCCGAGTGATTGAGTATGAGACAATGAGATTGAGCACTCTGAGAATGTGAGTACATGAGTTCATCACTGTGGTGCATTATATTGACATGCATACTTGGCATGTAGGCATAGAGATGCATTTCCTCATGCTACACGGTATTATGACATTCATGACTTCACATGCACATTGACATGTAGACACAGAGATATACTTTCCTTATGTTATCTGAGAATGAAATATTTTATCTGTTGTCGAAAGCTTTTGGGAAAAATCGCAGTTTTCTGATATACTCATACTTTGGCGATTTCGATGAAAGATTTGGGATTTTACTGTTATACCTGAAAAGCGTGTCTATTTTTCTATAACTGTGAACGAGTTGAGCATCATATCTTTGAGTTATTACTTGTGCTGCTTTTACTTACGATTGTTCTTGGCTATTAGTGTTGGACTCTGACCATTGTCCAAGCTCATCATGGGGTCGGTTGTACTCATACTACACTTCTACACCTTGCGTGCATATTTTGGTGTTGATATTGATGTGTATTGCGGGAGCTGGCTTTGAAGGTGAACCTGTGATCAGGTTGTAGCTGCCTCTTGTTCATGTTAGTTTTAAATTTATAAAAATCTGTTTATGTATATTTCGAACCAATGATGTAATTATTTCATACCAGCTTTGTAAACTCTAAATCTTATAAGCTCATGATTTATGCTACCAGTCCTTGGGTTGTTGTATAAAAGTTCAGTTATTTCATTATTATCTTTTTTCCAGCAAATCTCATTTGAAATTGGATTATTGTTAAATTGGCTTGCTTAACAGATTGGGTTAGGTGACATCATGACTAGTTGAATTTTGGGTCGTGACACAATCACAGAAGCAACAACTGTCACGCCAATCTTCAGGGACCAAGTATCGAAAGTTACTCTCTTATTCTTAGAAGAAATCAATCAAGATTGATTCTAAGGATCATTTCCCTTAGGTTGCCCATCGTCTAAGGATTTGTCATACCGAGAATATTGGCAATCAAACCTGAATTTGTTGAGAAAGATCAGCTGTAGAGGAAAACTTATAGTCAAACTGAGAATCAATGATTCATGAAAACATGCAAAGAGCAGAGTTGGCGCATTTGATCTTTCTAAATCACATATACACAATAAGAGGCTCAACGGAAGCATATACTTTGATCAAACCATTTACCACTCTTTTTATTCTACTCCAAACAAGCATTGTAGTCTATTCTAGGTTTACTGTGTAACTAGGAGAGAAGAAAGAGTGAAAAGAATCACTGGTGAGGCAGTGTATCAAAATCAAGAAAAGAACATACATAGTGAAGAAACTATTGGTGTATAACAACATCAATACACTTGTACCAAAGATTTCAAATTTTTAGAAGAGAACTCCCTTGCAATCCAAGGGGACTGGACTAAGATTTACATTGAGTACGAACCAGTATAAAACATTCGATGTCATTTACCTTCTGCAATTTACTTTATGTACTTACTTCATATATACATCGCGTAAAGTATTTAGTCGACTAACAACAAAAGTAGTCAACTACCCAGCGAAAGAAAAAAAAGAGTTACAATTCACCCCTCTTATATTTTCAGAGGTGATCCCTCAATAAAATTACACATAGATCTGCCTCTAACCAGTACACTTACCGAATAACTTCTGACTTTGGCAACACTTCTTGACGATGAAAGTACCGATTAAAATTCAAATGGTAGAGCTCTTAGATACATTTAATGGTTAAATTAATCATCGTATATATACTAGGCAGCACCAGACGTCGGCACGACAACGACTGAGAATTGTTAAAGACATTCCAATCTAAATTTAAAAATAAAAACATACGTTAGTGGAGTTAATTAATAATTAATGCCAGATATTTTTCAAAGATGAAGCCAAAGTCAAAGGTACGGGAATTTGTACTTTTTGGGCTCTTGATCGACTATTGCAACTTGCCGTACATTGATCTTTTCCGTGTACAGAGTAGGTAGAACTTAGAAGAAGACTTGGGATTAAGATTTCTTTTTCTTATACCTTATTTTAAATCGAAGAATATGACTCATAATCTTAATTATTACAATTTGCAAAAATCAATTAACCAGGTCAGCTAAATTATTTTCAAAGCTTAATCGTGGATTATTATTAGTTGGGATAATTCTTTAAATATATTTTATCCAATGAGGTAAGAAGTGATTTATAACCAAATACATAGAGCTTATGTGACTAATTAATTGCAAGTTACAAACATTTGGAGAAGGCTAATGCTTGTTGGCTTTTTAATACTTTGTCATTTAATTTTTCTTTTCATGGTTTCTTTATAAAAACAAAAAGTTTAATTTCTAGAATTTTAAGCAAACATCCTGTATATTTATGGAATATATTTTAAGGGAAGAATATTATGTATTTTGTTGCCATATATAGTTCTAGACATGACAAAACTAAGTAGGTAGTGATTCATGTACCAAATCATCGTTAATTAAATTTTGAATTTGTGAATTCTGGATTCTAGAAAAGGTACTTTACCTAGTTCTAAATAAATTATTTATACATTTTAAGTGAGTTTTTAAATACAAATACATCATCTGGATCATATCTATCGAGTTCTGTCAAACCCGTATGTAGAACGTACACTAGCTCAGCCCTGATAATAACTTATACTTATGACTCAATAATAAACCTTATGTAAAAGTCACATGCTATCTTTTTATCTTTACATGATTATGTCAAGAAACTAATGCTCTTTACATGAGTATTTTTAGTTCTTTGCCATATACTGAACGTTGATATTGAATAGATAATGTACAAGGTTTTCTTTTCAATTAATCTGTTTTATTTTTCTCTCACATAAACCACACGTCAAAATTGAAGAGACCTAAAAGATAATATATATATTTATTTGTCAAGTAGGATTAACAAAGCCATAAAAGTTACAAGCAAGCACAATTGCAAAGAGTTTACGACTTGCTATAGCAGCTTGAGGCCTCATTTGTTTGCACTTAACGGGGGTCTGAATCTTAATCATTTAGATCTTAGACATTAAGTGTATTTTTTTTAAGTCTGAATCTTAATAATTCAGATCTTAATCATTAAGTGTGTTTGATTTTTTTACTTCAGAACTACTTAATGGGTCTGAATAAGTATGTATGATTAAGATCCATAACAGAGACTTAATTTCATTAAGATGCTATCATCCATATTCATTATTAATTGACTCGCCACCGCCTACCATTATCAACTACCATCATGCCACCACCACCATGATCCTCAATCAGAGTCGCCACCATAATCGACTGCCATCACCCGCCATCCACACCATTTCCACTACCATCATTCTCAACCACAAACACTCATTCACCTTAACTACCACAACTAACCATCTCATCACCATCAACAATCATAACCGGCACTACATCATTATAAACTATCACCACCCACCACCACCTTCCTCAATCACAACTAACACCACCACCTGTCATTATTAACTATTACCACTCACCACCACCATCCTCAATCATAATCACCATCACTACTAATCACCACTAGCTACTATCCTGAACCACCACCATCAACCAAACCTACCACCAACCACTGCCTCTAGTCCGTATTCACAAGCACCACCGTTAACCATCACCACTAACAACTACTATATTTTTAAAAAATTATATATTTATTGATAGAATATTAGATTAATTAGTATTTCATTTGAATTTTATGTTATTAATTTTCAAATAAAGATAAATTTTATACATTCAGATATTAAAAATCAAACAGTCTTAATCATTTAGTATTCAGATATTAATACACATTTTAATATTTAAATGTGTATTCAAATTTAGATATATTAATTTTAATACACATATTGATATTGAGATGTGTATTCAGATTCAGCCATCTTAATCTTAAAAAAAACAAATGAGGCCTTAGTCTAAAATATAATCATCTCCTTACTAGAACTGGAGAGGCCACCTGATTAGATCACAATCAATTAACCTGGAATCGACGTGATCGAAATTTCGAGGAAGGAACTATTGATACACCCTCCGCCTCTGTTTAATTTTACTGACATATTAATTTCGTAGTTTGTTCAAAAAAGAAATGATACCTCTATAATATATGAATGGATTGTTACATGCACAAATAGCCGGTCAGATTCAATGTTTATTTTTTTAGTCCGTATATATAAATTATACATTGATTATACACAGTTATACATATTAAATACATGAATTATATATATTATATATCTGACAGCTATTTTTAATTTAAGAGATTAGATGAGCTGCTATTTGGGGTTAATTCTTCTTTATATTTATCCTTAATGACATGATCTTATAACCACAAACATATTAAAGATGTTTAAAATAAAAATTTTAAGGGTACTTCTAATATGTATTAAAAGTCAAAATTTTAAAACCGGTGTGTCTAGTCAGACATCGCCATAAAAGGAAACATAAAACTTTGAACTGGGATCATTTTGGTGCTTCAATATTTAACTAACCACAACGGTTAGATTATTATCATATTAAAACTTTTTTTAAAAAAAGAAAAAAAGACGGGCTAAGTCTGTTAGCAAGATAGTGGACATACTATAAGATTCCTTAAAAATAGGATCCTTTGGAATATACGATAAGATTAACGCTATTAATCAGATGCGGCGAAGTGGATTCCTTAATCAAATTATAACCATTCGGAATCTCCATTAGGTTACTTAGCCTTGTATTTTGTCAACTCCTTTATACCTATATAAACACGCCTAAAATTATCAAAACATACACTTCAAAATCAAACTAAGCTTTCTTCTTTAGCATTTTAATCAATCTTTTTTTTTTTCCTAAAGAAGAAATTAAAAATGGTTGATATTGAAGGATCACCAGGTAGTTCTATGCATGGAGTTACAGGTAGAGAACCAGTTCTTGCTTTCTCTGTTGCATCTCCAATGGTACAAACTGATACCACTGCACATTTTAAAGTTCCGGTCGATTCTGAACACAAGGCCAAGGTTTTCAAATTCTACTCATTTTCAAAACCTCACGGTCTAACTTTTCAACTTTCTTGGATTTCTTTCTTTACTTGTTTTGTTTCTACTTTTGCTGCTGCCCCTTTAGTTCCTATTATTAGAGACAACCTTAACTTGACCAAAATGGACGTTGGTAATGCTGGGGTTGCCTCTGTTTCCGGAAGTATTCTATCTAGGCTTGCAATGGGTGCGATTTGTGACATGTTGGGACCAAGATATGGATGCGCGTTTCTTATCATGTTATCAGCTCCGACTGTTTTTTGCATGTCTTTCGTGTCTTCGGCTGGTGGCTACGTTGCTGTGAGATTCATGATTGGATTCTCACTCGCGACGTTTGTGTCGTGTCAATATTGGATGAGTACGATGTTTAATAGTCAGATTATTGGACTTGTTAATGGAACAGCAGCAGGATGGGGAAATATGGGGGGTGGAGCTACTCAGCTTATTATGCCTATTCTCTATGATATTATTAGAAGAGCAGGAGCCACCCCTTTTACTGCTTGGAGAATTGCTTTCTTTATTCCTGGTTGGCTTCATGTTATTATGGGAATTTTAGTGTTAACTCTTGGCCAAGATTTGCCTGATGGTAACCTTGCTTCCCTACAGAAGAAAGGCGATGTTTCTAAAGATAAGTTCTCTAAGGTGAGTAATCCATTTTCATTAATTTTCATGTGATCAAGAGCTATGTTACAGATTCGAGTTGTGGAAACAGCCTCTTGCAGAAATGCAGGGTAAGACTGCGTGCAATAAACTCTTGTAGTCCTACCCTTCCCCGGACCCCGCGCATAGCCCGGAGCTTAATGCATCGGACTGCCTTATAAAATTTGTACTTTAGAACAAAGAGAATTTTGTTACCTTAGTTATTTAACGGTAGAACAGGTAGCTAACTATTTCATCTCCATTTTTGTCATAGATATTGTGGTATGCTGCAACAAATTACAGGACATGGATCTTTGTCCTGCTCTATGGTTACTCCATGGGAGTTGAATTGACTACAGATAATGTGATTGCTGAGTACTTCTTTGATAGGTTTGACTTGTTTTCCCTAAGCTTTTTGTTACGAATAGTAGTACTTTTTCCACCCCAATTTATAATGATGGTGTTTGACATTAGAAAGAACCAAAATTTTATAAACTTTTGGTCTAAAATAGGACAAACATTTCTATGGCTATATCACTAAGGGTGAAATTATCTCCGTGTTCGAGCCGTGGAATCAGCCACTGATACTTGTATCAGGGTAGGCTACCTACATCACACCCTTTAGGAGTTGTTTGGCTGGGAAACAAGTTATCCCAGGATTAATTATCCCGGGATTAGTTATCCCCGGATTGTTATTCCACCCTCATGTAGGGATAAAAATAACACTACAATCCCAGGATAACTAATTCCGGGGTTAGCTATACCACAATTTTATCCCAGCCAAATATGAAAAAAACTCATCTCAAATTTAATCTCGGGGCTAATTATCCTTTATCCCTCGTACCAAACGAGCCCTTAGGGTGCGGCCATTCTCGGACCCTGTGTGAACGCACAATGCTTCATACTCCCGGCTGTCCCTTTTTTATATCATTAAGGGTGAATATGAAGTTTAAAATGAAATTGTTATTAAATATAGAAAAATATCATTCTAATTGGAATATATATATTAAAAAAGAAAGTGTATCACATAAAATGTTACACAATCTTCGTCGCTACTTAATTAAAGAAATTAATCTCTATTTTAAAAAATTGTAGATTTGATCTAAAGCTTCACACGGCTGGAATCATTGCTGCCACATTTGGTATGGCTAATCTCTTAGCTCGACCTTTTGGAGGATGGTCATCAGATATTGCAGCCAAACATTTTGGAATGAGAGGCAGATTATGGAACTTATGGATTTTACAAACACTTGGTGGTGTTTTCTGTTTCTTACTTGGAAAAGCAAACACACTTCCTATGGCTATAGCTTGGATGATCATATTCTCCTTAGGTGCTCAAGCAGCATGTGGAGCTACATTTGGTATTATTCCTTTCATTTCGCGTCGATCGTTAGGTATAATCTCAGGTATGACAGGAGCTGGAGGAAATTTTGGTTCTGGATTGACACAACTCTTGTTTTTCACAACTACAAAATGGTCAACAGAAACAGGATTGAGTTATATGGGGATTATGATTATAGCTTGTACACTTCCTGTATCTTTGGTTCATTTCCCACAATGGGGAAGTATGTTTTTGCCTCCAACTAAAGATCCTGTTAAGAGTACTGAAGAGCATTACTTCACGTCTGAGTACACTGAGGCTGAGAAGCAAAAGGGTATGCACCAAAACAGCATCAAGTTTGCTGAAAACTGTCGGTCGGAGCGTGGTAAGCGTGTGGGTTCAGCTCTTACTCCGCCTAATGTAACGCCAAACCGTGTCTGAGCTTGAGTCTCACGGATCAGTACGGAGAAATAGTGATTTTGAAAAGCTTACTTGCTTAATTGGTGTTTGTATCAACACAATAAACGTGTGATATGTGTCTTTTAATGAGCTTTATATTACCCAAGTGTGAGTAGTTAATTTGTATTATCACTTTGTGTTGTGAGACTGATCTTAATATTAAAACAGTTGATTTGGTGTAAACTTTCACTACAACAAGGAAGATTCTATTATATTTTTCCCTTCATTACAATTTTACAATACCACAAGATCAGCTTTTGAATGTAAACAACAGTCGTTTATTTCATGCCAGAAATTAATGCGTAGCTTCAATCATATTATTGAAAATATTCAAAAGATGCCTATTAAAATAATACTAAAAGAATTCAATGAACTTACAAATTAGAATAAACGCATTATTTTAGGGGTATGACTTGGTATTGATAAGATTCATGATAGTAGGAAACTAGGAAGCTGGTTCAACAAATTGGGCCGAGTTAAAGGAGAAATGGTTGGGTTCATCTGAACTATGTTCGGGTCAGATATGAAGAATTAACCCAAATAGCCGCCCACCCAACAACTTAAACTAATAATAGCCGGTGGAGGTATAATATATGCATAATTTATGTATTATATATGTATAGTTGTGTATAATCAATGTATAATATATGTATATGGCTAGAAAAAAATAAATAATGAATGTGGCCGGCTATTTGTGTAAAGATCCCGTCAGATATTAGGGTTCAAAAGTCAAACATGTTTGGGCCAGAGCTCGATACTTCATCGAAATAGCATGTGATAGCCAGTTTTCAGACTGGTAATTAAAAAATAGTCAACGTTTATAAAGTCATTGAAAAACAACAACTATTTAATGTGAAGATAAAATCTAGACAAAAATTACCTTAGCTGAAACACGAAAAGTTCCAGCATAATATGCAAGATTATGGAATTTCTGCGTATAAACTTCCAGCACGTTATGTTGGAACTCTAACATTCCAGCACATTATACTGGAATCTCATATGTAAAAAATTCGAACTCCAATATATTATGCTGGACCTTTTCTGGATTTTTAAAGGTATTTTTATTCAAATTTTATTTTTACATGAAAAAATGGCTAAATTTCGATTATTTTTTAAATTGAGGCTAATTTTCAACTACCAATTGTAAATCTGACTATTTTTGAATTTCTCGTCGATACTTCCATAAACAAAGGAGATGGCAGTGCAATAGTTGCGAGAGACTCGCGCTGATACCACTAATTATAAATCTTGGTGATTGAGTCAGTTTAACTTATAACGGAAAGATTGCGGCAACGCTCTGAAATTCAATTACTTATTTTAAGAAAATAACGTTTAAATAATTATAAATTATATAAAAAGTACTGTAAGTTACAACTTTAAAGGAAAGATATTTAAACATATGAAAATGTGTAACCAAAGAAAATAATTTCTTGGATCCCAAATAGAGTGGAACTAATGGAGTATATTAATGGATTCATGCTCATAATTTAAAGAACAACAATCGTACTCCACCAAAACATTGAAATTACATTTCATCAAACAAACACTGCGTCTTCTAGCCTAATACGACAAAGATATATTTACTTATATCTTAATCTTCTGTTTACAATTTTGCTGTTCCTCAATCTCATAGTGTCAAATATATAGCTAAGTTGTTATGACCGAGCACATGTGAGTTTCATAATTAATTTTGAGATGCTAAGTCAATATTACAGGGGGGCACAATTGCAAGTAGATTTAAAATAGTAGTATTAATTTTCTGAATAAAATATAAAATGGGGCAAACATTTTGGAGAAGAAAATCACATAAGTACGGATGATAACTCTTAAAGACTATCGCATTTATAATGTACGGTGTCACCCTCATAAAGAAAAAAAAAAGGAAACTTCTAATGAGGGCGTTTCCTTTTTTTTTCTTTAATCTTTAATAATTGTTTCTCTGCTGAATGTTATCTAAAGGACAGGTCGGTGCGCTAAGCTTCTGCTGTATGCGGAGTCCGAACTACAAGGCTTTATCGTACACAATCTTACCATATATTTGTGCAAGATGTTGTTTTCACGGCTCGAACCTCTGACATCCTGATCACGTGGTGACAAATTTATCAATTATATCAGACTCCCTGAGTTGAGTGATGTCTGACCTTTTAAAAAATCAAAGATAAACCAAGTCAAATACATTGAGCTCAACTTGCATATTTATTTAAGTAGAAAAAGTATAGTAGTAGCTTCTTGAATTTAGACGTGGGTTGCCTTAAACTTCGGCGATGTTGTTGCCAGAGGCACATCAAGGCTTGTCACAAAATAGTAACTATGAACATATAATTTTAAAAATATAACGAGTTTTAGTAAAATACTTATAGACTAAACCTATAAAGTTTAAATTCTAGATTCGCCTCTGATCGTTGCTAAGATATTCGGTCTTTGAGCCATAGCCATTATCTTTATTTCAATAGATTTACTTGACGACGTGTATTTATCTTATTTGAATTTTATTTTTAATAATACTTTCGTTCAAAGGAAGAGAAAATCATGAGAAAATAATGTTTGTTATTTACAAGCGCGCTGTTCTTGACAGTTGAATTATAAATTAAGAGATCATGGTCAACTTATCAACCATGTGTCCATGTTCTTTTGATTTGCTAATAGGTTTTGATAACTTATTTTTAATTACTTATTTAATGAACAATCCAACCCTCCATAGGACGTATCATTTCTTGGATTATAAATCAACGGTGTAGGTTTGGTGGCGGCTTTCATTCTGTTCTATTTGGTTAGTTGATTTCAGCAAATATTTGTCTTCATTAATATTACAAATTGTATTAAAAATAGACCATAAAATGAGATAAGGTCGCTTGAAATGATTTAGACATGTCCTACGTCGACTAATAGGTGAAACTATAAGGAAGTTGTTAAGAGGGGACGGCAAAACCTAACATCACATGGTACAAACCGTATTCACCGTACTTCAAATGACTTCAATCTTCAAATATTATTACTTTTATCAATTAAACATCTTTTTATTTCATGCTTTTTCCTTAGAAATACGCTAAAGTTTCCTTATAACTCATGCTAAAAACGACGTCAAATGTTCCTATCGATGCAACCACAAGACTCCAAGTTAAAGTTGTTGAGCAATATCATTTGCTCTAAAATCTATATAACATCTGCAAATTCCATCTTGCTCAGCTATAGGGGATTAAATTACACTATTAAATTCAACACTTATATGAACTCTTATACATATCAAGCTCGCGAAATATCTGCTAAATGAATCGGAAAGTCATGACGAAACAATAAGTGTTGGTCACTATATCATTTTCTATGGACCTATTACATTTTAAACCAATCGAAGTCCGTCAAATATTTTTTACAAAATACACATGTACTAATAGACACACAAAAAAAGTAGATATAATCATAATTTCATGTCGCTTGACCACGAAACCTTCTACTTTACTAAAGTACAGTGAGAAGGAAAGAAGTTACGTAAGTTTGACTTTTCTTTCGGTAAATTGATTTATTTTTCATGTTTTAAAAGTACTGGTTTTTACTGTCAATTTATAAATTAGTTGGAATGGCGAGGCAAAATATTGTGAATTTAGGGTTTCAAGTTAGATTAAAGAGATAAGGTATCAAAACAATAAAATATACCAAAGCACATGCATGATCGATAAGTTGACTATAATCCAATTCAGTAGCGCCAATGCCGGTGCACCATTTACGTTCCCAAACTTCATAAGGGCAAGAAAAACAAATAAGAGATTTAAATTTTAAAAGTGAATAGAATAATACAATATCCGTTTTAATTTCTCAACTAATGAACTCTAGATGTTCAAATGAATGTTAAGAAAGAGATGACACCGAAATCTTAGCCACCCCACGCCACGTTTAATTAAACAAGAAATTATTAATTTAAGTTTTATATATATATATATATATATATNGAAATAACTATGTGAACAAGTATTTTATGAATAAAATAATTTTGAAGATACGTACAAACTGCGATAGCCACTCAACAACAACAATAACAACAACCTAGTATAATTTCACTAGTGAGGTCTGGGGAGGGTAGGTGTAGGGTAGATAGGCTGTTTCCGATAGGCCCTCGGCTCCCTCTCTCCAAGAACTCCTCACCTTGCTCTTGGGGTGACTCAAACTCACAACCTCTTGGTTGGAAGTGGAGGTTGCTTACCACCAGAGCAACCCACGATAGCCACTCAGTATTATCATTTGTACGTAAGTCGTACTTATAAGATTTTCATTGCTTTATGGGAGTTTAATCCTGCTAAATTCTACTTGCAAAACATATTCTTGCATGTTGACTAGATTGATAATTCAAAAATAAAATAAATAGACAAGTTACATGTTATATCAGGTAAACCTGATCTGATTGTATAAACAAACAATTCTATTAACTAACAGTATATATATTGTTAGTGTAAACAATCTTTTTGGGGTGAATTTCTCCAGAAGTTGGAATAAGTCCCTAATTCGGAAGTTGGAATAGGTCTGTAATATCATTTATAACTTGTGTGCAAAATTTAAAATCAATCAGAGGTGTTTTGGTATGAATCAAAATTGGTATCAGAATTCGGAAGTTCATAATTTCATAAGCTTGAATCGGGGTTGTGATTCGTTGAATCGGTCTTACTTATATGATTTTTGGCCTCGATTAGGTCCGTTATGTGTTTTGAAACTTGTTGGTATATTTGGACCCGGGGTGTGATTCAGATTGAATCCGGATCAATTTTTGGACTTATACAATTGCTGAAGTTTCCAGCCATCTGGTGTCATCGCACCTGTGGAGGGATTGGACCTAGGTGCGGACTCGAAAATGCGAGTGATAGGGCGCAGAAGCGAAATGGGATGCCCAGACCTGGGGTCGCAGGTGCGAGGTGGTTTCCACATCTGCGAGTCCTAAGGTGCGGAGAAATGGTCGCAGATGCGGAAGGGGCAAGCTTGGTCGGTCTTCGCAGAAGCGGAGAGTTTTTTGCAGGTGCGCGTGTATGTCTGCAGAAGCAGAATCTCCTCAGCCTAAGTGGAACCCGCACCTGCGATGGTATTTCCGCAGGTGCGGCGTCGCAGATACGATGAAAGGCTTGTAGGAGCAGATTTACTTGGAAGAAAATAGGAAATTTAGAGGGTTTGTTTCATAATTTATATTTGGACTTAGAGAGTTCGGTATG